ATTTACTTATATTTATTTATTTATTTTTATTTATTTTATTTTTTTCTGAAAGACCAACAGGTCCTCCCACGTTAAAAACTAGCCTCCTACGTCTCCTTGCCCGAATGTTAATTGAATTAACAAATTTAAATTTTTTTTCTGTTTCAAATAAATGTTTATTTTTTATTTATTTATTTATTTATTTATTTTTTTTTTCATTAAATATCTATACACATTATATGTCTTCCTTATTATAACTATTATTTTAACATGCTATATACATTCAGATTTCTTTTATATAATACAAATTCTATGTTATTTAATAATATTTTCAAAATTACTTAAAAAGTCAATTTGTTCTTCAATTAAAACGAGTTGTTGTTTTTTTTAAAGAATTTAATGAAATTTTTAAATGTTTGATTTAGAAAAAAATATTAAAGATTTTATTTTGTATATTTTGTTGACTTATAGACTAATATTTATCATTTATTTAATATGTAATTAATGCTATTTATGTATATGAGATAATTAAAATTTTAAAAATAAGAAAATATATTTTTTTAATTATTTTCATTGGCTTTTAGACCGTTTACGTAGTGAAATTTTGAAAGTTTTTAAGGAAACGTATTGAAGAAAAATATTAAAATATTGCAATCTAAACATGTTTAAGAAAAGCCCTTTTTGGTTAATATTTAAATATGTATACACATTTTTTTTATAAACATTAAAAAAAATTAGGTTAATTCAAATTGCACCTGGACAACTATTTTAAAAAATATTTTTTAACAAAAATCCACGTCGATAAGTATTTTGAAAAATATTGTGTTAAAAAAATTCTCATTAGTAAGTAAAACAATTAAAAACAATTTTTTTAAATTTACGTTGGTTGGTATTTTGAGAAAATATTTTTTTTTAAAAAATCCACGTCGCTAAATATTTTGAAAAAATATTTTTTAAAAAAAATCCACGTCGGTATTTTGAAAAAATATTTTTTAAAAAAAAATCCACGTCGGTATTTTGAAAAAATATTTTTTAAAAAAAATCCACGTCGGTATTTTGAAAAAATATTTTTTAAAAAAAAATCCACGTCGGTATTTTGAAAAAATATTTTTTAAAAAAAATCCACGTCGGTATTTTGAAAAAATATTTTTTAAAAAAAATCCACGTCGGTATTTTGAAAAACATTTTTTTAAAAAATCCACGTCGGCATTTTGAAAAAAATTTTTAAAAAATCCCCGTCGGTAAATATTTCGAAAAAATATTTTTTTGTATTTATATTTTGGTATTTAAATATGTATTCACATTTTTTATAAACATTTAAAAAAAGAAAATTAGGTCAATTAATATTGCACGTGGACAAATATTTTAAAAAATATTTTTTAACCAAAATCCACGTCGGTAAGTCTTTTGAAAAATATTTTGTTAAAAAATTCTAATTAGTAAGTATTTTTAAAAACATTTTTTTTTAAATTTACGTTGCTAAATATTTTGAAAAATATTTTTTTAAAAATTCCACGTCGCTAAATATTTTGAAAAATATTTTGTTTAAAAAAAATCTCATTAGTAAGTATTTTTAAAAATATTTTTTTATATTTACGTTACTAAATATTTTGAAAAAATATTTTTTTTAAAAATCCACGTCGCTAAATATTTTGAAAAAAATATTTTTTAAGAGAAATCCACGTCGGTATTTTGAAAAACAATTTTTTTTAAAATCCACGTCGTTATTTTGAAAAACAATTTTTTTTAAAATCCACGTCGGTATTTTGAAAAATATTTTTAAAAAAATCCACGTCGGTATTTTGAAAAATATTTTTAAAAAAATCCACGTCGGTATTTTGAAAGATATGTTTAAAAAAAATCCACGTCGGTATTTTGAAAAATATTTTTTTAAAAAATCCACGTCGGTAAATATTCTTGGAAAAAATATTTTTTTTAAATCCAAGTTAGTAAGTATTTTGAAAAAAAAAAAACAATATTTTCTAAAAAATCCAACAGCTCAACTAGAACAACTCACTCCACACCCATAGCTCAAATATTTTTGGCGGAAGCTAAATATACGGGCCAAATTCCTCCTCTTCGTCATTTTTGAATTAAGATTCGAAGGAATCCATTTATTTTAGGTAGATAGTGTCTTCGGCAATATTGTAGAAAAAATAAGAGGAATATATTGATTGAAAATTTTAAACCTCAAGCGAGTCAAGAAATGGACCATTTTGGTCTATTATTTAAAATATGATTAAGAACTCCATTTAAACGGGATCGTAGCAAGTCAAAATATTCCACAAAGTTATTTATTATAAAATTCTACTGTAGGTCCTAGAAGACGTCAAGAGTCTTAATCTTATCTAAACGCCAGGAATTCATATACAATAACAACCCACATTTAGGGTTAAAGCCGTATTTTCTGTGAGTTTATGCATAACTCTCCAACAAAGAATAACTTTCGAGGGATGACGTCAGAGACAAAAGTATTCCCCATCAAATTTCACTATGAGTCATCAAAGAACAAAAATGTCTATTTCCATTGTATAGCAAAAAAATATTTGCAACAATGTTCCCAAAAAAAATATTGCCTAATTTGTCTGATAAATTTTTCCTCTGGCTTTTTTTTCGAGTTGACGCCTGGAAATAATATAAAGTTAATTTTAGACGAAAGGTGTCTAAAGAATATATATTCTATACAAAATTTAACAATAAATCTCAGAATAAACTTTATATCTAGATGCAATAGTTTAAAAGCCAGGAACTCATATATATTAGAACCCCATTTTAGGGGCTAAAACTGTACTTTGTGTGAGTTTGTGCAAAACTCTCCAACAAAGCATACTTTTCGAGGGATGACGTCAAAGACAAAAATATTCCCCATCAAATTTCACTATGAGTCATCAAAGAACAAAAATCTCTATTTCCATTGTATAGCAAAAAAAAAATATCAAAAAAAAAACGAAAATATGCTTAATTTTTTGATGAATTTTTCTTTTGACCTTTTTCGATGTGACGCCTGGAAATAATTTAAAATTTAATTTTAGGCGAAAGGTTTTGACACAAGATAAAATTTTACAATAAATCTCAGAATAAACCCTATATCTAGGTGCAATAGTTTTAATGAAAATAACATTCGAACTTGATGTATTATAAGTCAAAATTAGGTTTTTGCTTTTTTACTGTTTAATTTAACACGTTTTCAATTCGAGTAAAAATCTCCCTTTTTACTTCATTTTTTGAGCATTGTGTCAAAGTAAGAATTATTCTAAATTAAATTTCAATGGGGGTCTCAGAATACACCATGTTTCTAGATGCAATAGTTTTAATGCAATTTCCATTCGAACTTTATGTACAACAAGTTAAAATTATGTTTTTGCTTTTTTTTACTGTTCAAGTGAACACGTATACAAACCGAGTCAAAATTTCCCTTTATACTTGATTTTTTGGGCAAAGTGTTAAAGGTAGAATTATTCTAGATCGAATCTCAATGTGAGTCTCTGAATAAACCATCCATCTAGGTTCAATAATTTTTATAAAAATCGCATTCAAAATTGATGTACTAAAAGTAAAAATTATGAGTTTCCTTTTCTTGCTGCTTGATTTAACCCGTATCTAAGCCAAGTCGAAATTTCCCTTTGTACTTAATTTTTTGACAAACGTGTTAAAGTAAGAATTATTCTAGATCGAATTTCAATGTGTGTCACTGAATAAACCATATATCTAGGTACAATAGTTTTTATAAAAATTATATTCAAAATTGATGTACTAAAAGTGAAAATTATGTTTTAGCTTTTCTTGCTGTTTGATTTAACAAGTATCCAAGCCGACTTAAAATCTCCCTTTATCCTTCATTTTTTGGGCAAAGTGTCAATGTAAGAATGATTCGAGATCAAATTTCAATGTGAGTCTCATAATAAACCATATATCTGAGTACAATAGTTTTTATGAAAAATACATTCAAAATTAATATACCAAAAATGAAATTTATGTGTCTACTTTTTCACTGTTTGATTTACCGAGTATCCATCTGTATAAAAATCTCCCTTTATCCTTCATTTTTTGGGCAAAGTGTCAAAGTAAGAATAATTCTAGATCAAATTTTAAGGAGGGTCTCTGAACAATAGTAATTTGTATACTTAATATGTACCATACAAACAATAGCATCAATTTTTGTTAATATAAAGCCTTGTTTATATCTGAACAATTTAGCACTTTTTCCCAATTCGCTGCAACTTTTCTTGTAATTTCCCCCCAAAAAATTTAATTGTGCCGGTCGCATAATATTAGGGCTATACCATATTTCAATACCAGAAATACTACGGGCTTTAAAATATTTTAAACCTTATGAAAGCTTGTCATAAGCAAGCCCATGCTTTGGGCTCCTCATTATATTCTTTATTTATTTATTACAAACCTTGAATATTTGAACAAAATTTCGAACATAGAAAAATTTTTTAGAGGCCCTTAAGATGGATTAGAAAACGTTTTTGTATTTTTTAGAAGCACTCTTTGGATATCTATGAAAGATCCATACATATTTTCGATTCAAATTTCCTTTATATTTCGTTTTTACTTTTTCAAAATTTCGCACCTAAAATACTTTTTAAAAGGTCGTTATGTGGAACTTTTCGAAACCCTCTTGGCTTTTCGAAAACCCTTTTGAATAACTTGTAATCCATAAAAGATCCATACATATTTTCGATTCTTGGCCACATTTCCTTTATATTTTCTTTTCTCTTTTTCAAAACTTACTCTATACAATTTCAATTTTCTTATACAAATCTCTTATTATGTATATGTATTTATATATATATTAGACTTAAATCTAATATCTATGCAAAATCGTCCTCTTCTTCTTTTTCAAACAAAAAAAGAAATCTAAAAAAATTGCAACATTGTCTCCAGTTAATTTTTTTTTCTTCCTCGTAAAAAAATAAAATCTACCTCCATATATTTCTTCTTCTTCTCCTCTTCCTTCCTCTTAATCTTAATCATTTAAATTTACAAAAATATTTCTCATCGATCTTGGATCTCTATTGCAAATACACCTCTTCCACTTCACCCTCGTCGTCGAGACACTCCCCCGTAGCTGAGGTCTGCAGTTGCACGGTATGCAGCTGTTGGATGTGATGCGTTTCGACAACTTCTTCCACATCTTCGGCATCTTCAACGGACATGGCTGCTTCAACAACTTGATCAACATTACTGGTACTATATTCGAGGAGATCTTCATCATCCATGTCCGCTGATGTGGCCTGGGTTTGGGTCTGGATACTCATCAAATGGGGTACACCAGCCGAGGTTTGATGGTGATGATGATGTTGCTGCTGCTGCTGATGGTGGTGGTGATGTTCAGTTGTTTGATATTCAGCCCCACCTCCACCTCCAGGATGGGTGTGATGATGTATTATGACCTGATGTTGTTGTTGTTGCTGTTGGGGTTGATATTGTTGTTGTTGTTGATGATGTTCCTCGATCTCTTCGACTTCGTGTAGCTCATGATGCTGCAGCTCTTCGGCACTGTGATGGGTGGTTGTGGTAAAAACCAATGGAGGTGGTGATACTGATGTGGCTGTGGTTGTTGTTGTCCTTGTTGTGGCATGATGTGTGGTGGCAATGTGTTGTTGTTGGTGTTGCTGATGATGATGTTGCTGTTGTCGTATAATATGATCTGCGGTATTTTGTTGAGATTTATTAGATCTCTTCAGGGTGACGGTGACCTCAGAGCCTAGACCAGCCAATGAAACGGGGGTGGAGCCGGTTGATGTGCGAACGGTGGTGGTGTTGGCATTGCCATGGCCACCAGCATGATGCTGGGATCGAGTTTGAATGACTCTACGTGTTGTGGTGGTGGTTGGACCGCCACCACTCGATGATGAGCTTTGAATGATACCAGCCGGGCCATGATGTTGTTGTTGGTGGTGATGTTGCTGCTGCTGATGACCCCCACCACCGCCACTACTACTACTGGCAGCAGTGGCATGGGCATGAGAGTGACTAGTGGCATTGTTGTTGTTGTTACCCGCCGCATTCGGTGATATATAATTGATGAGCAATACCCTTTCCCCGGCCGCATTTGTGGTGGCATGGCCCCGCAACATGCGTCGCGTGGCCCTCGACAATGGCTGGGTTGTGGTAATTTGTACATTACCCTGGGCTCCACTAACCATCTGGGCCAATTCGGCGGCACTTACATTCAAAACCTCGCCACCGCTTATGACCGTTGCATTTCCGCCACCACTACCCCCGCCGCCACCGTTTGTCTGTCCCGTTGCCGTTTCGTGTGCTGATGTCGTTGCGGCCACGACAGTTGATGTTGTTACTGCCGACGATGCTGTTGATGCCGCTGCCGTTGTGGGGCCCGCCGTTACGACCTCGACTCCGTTGTCCGTTGTTGCGGCAGCCGCATGTTGATTTGCCGCTGCTGTACCACCGTCGGAGCCGCAGATCATATCGTTGGATCATCATTACGTATTATTACTGCCTTTTAAAATGAAAACCTTCTTTACCAAAATGTTCTTGTTGTTGCCCTGGTTGGTTAGGCGTCCAGGTAAATATTTAGGAAATATTTTAAAGGTTAGGTTTGGAGGTTAGGTTTTGATGATCATGATTTTGGTTTAATGGAACAGCAAATTGTTGTTGTTGTATTTTATTGGTTAGCACAGTTGGTTATTGGCAATGACATTGGACGACGATGATGATGATGATGATGTTTTTCGATGATGATAATGATGAAAAGAGAGTAAAAAAAGAGACAAGAAAAAGAGAACACACAATTAGTACTTTGTAATGATATTTATGGGGAATGGTTATAAACATTTTTTTTTTAATTTTGTTATTGTGATGAGAGGCGGGCGGTTCATGAATGCTCTGTCAAAGAGTGAAAATGTTAGTAACAATAATGTGACATAACCTCACTATTTTAGGAAATCTATTTACAACGGATATTCTACAAAATCTTTCTATAGAAAGGGTTTTTTATAAATAAAAAAGCAAAATATATAGTGAAATTGAATAAAAATATTGAATTTTGGGTATGACTTCGAACATAACCTCAATTTTGCAAAATAGCTTCAACAAAAAGTCATGAAATTCTCCGAATAAAATAGATATTTCAACAAAAATTCTACAAAATATAATACATATTGATATACATTTTTAATATTTAATTTAAATTTTTGGAAATTTGATATTTTGGAAAAAATTTTCAACATAACCTCAATTTTGGAAAATTTAAATTTTAGCAAATTTCTTTCATTTTTGCAACATATATGTATACATAAAACCCAAATCCATGCGAAGGTCTGATATTCAGACTCAATATTTAAAAAAAAAATTGGAATTTTTGAAAAAATGAAAAAAGTTCAAACCTAACCTCAATTTTGAAAATGTTATTTTGCACCGGATTCCATCAGTTTTGCAATTTATACTTAGATGTACATGTAAATTTTTTTTATGCTGAGCCGTAGTTTTTGGAAATGTTCAATTTTTGAACAACATTTTTCGAACCTAACCTCAATTTTGGAAATTGGAATTTCAACAAATTTTCCTTGAATGAAATATATGTATATTAAAAATCTTGAAGGGAAATTCACTTAAATACAATTCATATTAATGTAAACTTTTAGGATTTGAACTCAATTTTTGGAAATTTTTAATTTCTTGACAAATCTTCAACCTAACCTCAATTTTGAAAATTTAAATTTTAGCAAATTCCTTTCATTTTTGCAACACCTTTATACATAAAACAAAAATCTAAGCGTTTTCCCGAATCTCATACTCAATTTAAAAAAAAAAAAACTGAATTTTTAAAAAAAAAATTGAAACCTAACCTCAATTATGAAAATATTATTTTACACCGGATTCCATCAATTCTGCAATTTTTACATTTATACAATTTTTTTACAGATATACATGTACATTTTTTTATGCTGAGCCGTAGTTTTTGAAAATTTTAAATTTTTGCATAACATTTTTCGAACCTAACCTCAATTTTGGAAATTAGAATTTTAAGAATTTTTTTCTTAACAAGGATATATATTAATTCGTAGTAATGTAAACATTTATGACTTAAACTCAATTTTTGGAAATTTTGAGTTTTTTTGACAAATCTACAAACCTAACCACAATTTTGAAAATTTAAATGTTAACAAAAATCTTTCATTTTGCCAAAAAAAATCGAAATTTTTGTTAAAAAAAATCAAACCTAACGTCAATTTTGAAAATATGATTTTGTAACGGATTCCATAAATTTTGCAATATATACTTAGATATAGAGGTATATTTTTGATGCTGAGTTGCAGTTTTTGGAAATTTTGGATTTTGGATAAATTTTTTCGAACCTAACCTCAATTTTGGAAATTTAAATTTAAACAAATATCTTTCATTTTTACGATATACACATACATAACACTTAAATCCAAGCGATTTTCTAATACTCAGACACAATTTTTACATATCGCAATATTCCATTCGGCAAATATTGAAAAAAGAGCTCGGGGTAAAGCCGTAAAAATTCCAAAAAGTGCAAGAACTTACACAGCAACAGAAATAATATGGACTCTAAAGAGCTAAGGAGTTGCTTCGCCAAAGAGGTGAGCTGACCCCTTCGTTTGGCCAAGAGAACTCAAGCGCCGGCCATGGTGATGGATCGGCCATAACAGCCGATGGTCGCGCTCTCCGCTCGTATTAATCGAACGCGAGAATAAAATTGTGTATGCAAGTCCACGTCTTCGTATAACCCCACATATAACGGTACCTCCTGATATTCGGTATTTTCATAATTTTAGCCACATTATTTACCGGAATTATTTAGAATTTCGTATTTGAAGTTCGTAATGGGTTCTACAGCTTATGACAAAAATTTTTGTATGCAAGCCCACGTCTTCGTATAGCCCCTATATAACGGTTTCCATTTAAGTGGTAGTTTTCGGAATTTTTTGAAAATTTTCAAGTTCCTTCGAAATGGTGGAGGGTATTAAAAGTTCGGCCCGGCCGAACTTAGGTGCTTTTTTACTTGTTCCTTCTCGTCATGTATGGTCCCTGAAAAAAATATTGGTCCTTGAAAAAAATATTTGTAATTCCGTGGACTAGTTAATTGTCAGGGGGGTCTATATCGACAAAAAAAGATTTGGAAACTCTTGTAGAAAATAAAAAAGGGGAAAGGTATTACCACTAAAAAATTGATATTAACATTGAATACGACAACATGCTGGATAAGAGGAAGGGAAGGTGAAACAAAGCCAGAAAGAATAATAAGAAAATCATCTACACTCTAAAGATGGTGTTTGAAATTGAAAAAAAGGTTTTATTATAAAATCCAAAATCTCAAAAGAAATATTAGTAAAGTTTCGATAACGTACAGTAGAACATGGCTATGGTGTAGTAATGGGGAGTAATATTGCTTTTGGCTTTTAAGTTTTGTGTTTGGAAACATTGAAATCACAACAGTAAAATGAAATGAAAAAAAAAAAAAAGATTCAAAATAACCCATAGATTCATCATGGCCATGTTCGACTGTTTTCAGTTTTTAATTTTTTTTTTGTGGTATTTTATTTCAATGAAAATTTTTCAAAACAAAATATATCTAAGAATAGGCATTTTTATTTGGGGTAGAAGAATAGATGTTTACTAGGAAGCACCGAGGTGGTACCCGGAGAAATGTTTTACAAAACCATTTTTGAATTTCAATTTATGGTGGAGGTGCTCAACATCTCTCTGGATACATCGTCGTTGCTTGGAAGGGTAACTATTTTCTAAAAAAAAAAAAATAATTAACTACAACTAAAAACAAAATATAATTTTATTTATTTTTTTTAAGGCAATTAGTGGAAATTAACTAAGGAAGCAGATTTTTACAAAAAGCACATTTTTTTACAATTTTACTTATAAACGGAACACAAACTTATTTTTTTTTAAATTTATAAAATTAAATATACAAATAGTACTTAAAATATGTTTTTTTAATAACTTATAATATTCTAATAACTAATACCAAAAAAAAATGGAAATGAAATAATTTTAATGGTAATTAATAACAAGTAAAACAGCTGTAAGTTCAGACGGGCCGAAAATTGAATACCCTCCACCATTTGGAAAGAAATTTGAAACAATTCCGGTGAAATAATGTCGCTAAAATCATCAAAATACCGAATATCGGGAGGTACCATTATATGAGGGCTATACAAAAAACGTGGACCTGCACAGAAAACGTTCTGTCATAGGATGTAGTCTCCATTGCGAACTTCAAATACCAAATTTGAAACAATTCCGGTGAATAATGTCGCTACAATCATCAAAATACCGAATATCGGGAGGTGTTGTTATATAGGGCCTATACGAATACGTGGACATGCACAGACAATTTTCTGTCATAGGCTGAAGTCTTCATTGCGAACTTCAGATACCAAATTTGAAACAATTCCGGTAAATAATGTCGTTAAAATCATCAAAATACCGAATATAGGGAGGTACCGTTATATGGGAGCCATACGCAGACGTGAACCTGCACAGACAATTTTCTGTCTTAGGCTGAAGTCTTCATTGCGAACTTCAAATACCAAATTTGAAACAATTCCAGTGAATAATGTCGCTAAAATCATAAAAATACCGAATAACGGGAGGTACCGCTATATGGCGACTATGCGAAGACGTGGACCTGCTCAGACAATTTTCTGCGTTAGGCTGTAGTCTCTATTACGAGCTTCAAATACCAAATTTGAAACAATTCCAGTGAATAATGTCGCTAAAATCATCAAAATACCGAATATCGGGAGGTCCCGTTATATGGGGGCTATACCAAAACCTGCATGGACCAATTTCAATACCAAAAGTCCTACAGACATAGTATACATTTGAGTAAAATTTTATCAACCTACTTCATTTCGTTCGGAAGCTAGAGTGATTTCCACAGACGGATAGACGGTCATAGCTAAATCGACACAGAATTTTAAGCTGATCAAGAATATATGGGGTGTTATGGGGTCTAAAATGTATGTATATTTCGAGGTGTTACCAACGGAATGACAAACTTAATATACCCTTCATACTTTCCATTAAAAAATCTCTGAGAGGACCAGTAAAGATTTCAGTTTTAATTGACATCCTAACTCTAGGTCGTCTATGAAAACTCCCAAGCCCACAGCTCACCCATGATAGCCATTTTGGCCTCCAGATCACCCTGCTCTTCAGCTGTATCTTTAAAAAGTCCCAGACATTCATAAATAAATCGAAATGCCAGAAGAGATGAACGAATAGTTTCAAGGATGTACTTTTGACTTGTTTTTAAGAATGCCACCAAGCCCTTTTTAAAATGGATTTTTAAGATTAGATATATTCTAGAAAAATATTCTCCACAAAATTCTACCATAGACATCTAGGTGCAACGTAACAGAAATCCTAACATCAGACTCTCTTAGTGGAACCAAAACCAAGTTTTATTAAAACAAAGTATTTTGACCCCTATTCAAAATTGACTCGAATACGCTGGTTTAGAAGTTACGTAATGTTCTACAAAAATGGTGATCACGAAATTCTTTTAGGCGATCCGGTACAAAACTTAACGGAAATACCAATCTGAATATCAGATAAAATTGAAAACCAAAAGAAATTTTTAAGTAAGGACCAAGTTTAAAAAGTAATTTTGTCAACTTTTCGAAAATGGTACAAAAACCCATCTAAACGCGATTTTTACGGTATGAAATATTTTGGAGAATTATACGCAACATAATTCTACTGGGGCTCTCTAAATACAACATAACTCAAATCTCAATTTAAATGTCTGAAAAAGTTTGAAATAAAATCATAACTTTGAGTGAACCTGAATAAAAGGAGTTTTTCTGGATAGTTTTCAAAAATGGTACAAAACACCTTTAAAACGGGATTTTTTAGGTTCAATATACTCTAAAGATTTGTTTGTCACAAAATTCTACAATGAGTCTCTGGATGTAGCATAACTCAAATCTCAGTCTTAGTGTCCGAAAAACGGCGGATTCAAAAACATAGTTTTACGTAAAAACTAATTTAAAGGGTATCTCTGAATACTTTCCAAAACTGGGACAAAATTCGATATATTCCTGAGATTGGTTCGTCATATAATTCTATAATGGGTCTCCAAATTTGGCGTGACTCAAATTTCAATTCGAATGTGAAAAAAACATTTAAAACAAAAACATAATTTTAGACTGAATTGTAAGATTTTTGCGGACTACTTTCCAAATGCTTAAATGTGATTTTTACGTTCCGATGTATTTTGGAGATCAATTTTCTATAAAATTCTATTAGGGATCTCTGAATACAACATGGATAAAATTTCAATACAAATGTGAGAAAAAGTTTAAAACAAAAAAGATAGTTTTAGGTTAAGACCGAATTAAAGGCACTTTCAGACTATTTTTCAAAAATGATACAAAACACCGCTTAAAAGGGATTTTTAAGGTTCGATCTATTCTGAAGATCGGTTCGCCATAAAATTCTGTTAGAGGTCTCTGTTTATAACATAAATCAAATCTCAGTCCTAATGTGAGAAAAGATGGAAAACAAAATAATATTTTTATGTGAAAAATTAATTAAAGGTATTTTTTGACAAATTTCCAAAAATGGTACAAAACAATCCTTAAATAGGATTTTTAAGGTTCGACATATTTAGAAGATTGGTTCGCCATAAAATTCTATTGGGGGTCTCAGAATATAGCATAACTTAAATCTCAGTCGTAATGTGAGAAAAAAATGGAAACAAAATAAAGATTTTAAGTGAAGAATGAATTAAAGGTATTTTTTGACAAATTTTCAAAAATGGTACAGAACACCGCTTAAATGGGATTTTTAAGATTCGATATATTTGGAAAATCTGTTCGCCATAAAATTCTGTTAGGGGTCTCTGAATATAGCATAACTTAAATCTAAGTCCTAATGTGAGAAAAAGTTGAAAACAAAAACATTATTTTAAGTAAAGAATGAATTAAGGATATTTTCTGGCTACTTTCTAAAAATGGTACAAAACACCGGTTAAATTCGATTTTTTAGGTTGGATATATTCTGAAGATCGGTTCGCCATAAAATTCTGTTAGGGGTCTCTGTTTATAGCATAACTCAAATCTCAGTCCTAATGTGAGAAAAAGCTGAAAACAAAAACATTATTTTAAGTAAAGAATTAATTAAGGGTATTTTCTGGCTACTTTCTAAAAATGGTACAAAACACCGGTTAAATTCGATTTTTAAGGTTGGATATATTCGGAAGATCGTTTCACCATAAAATTCTATTGGGGGTCTCCGGATATAGAAAAACTTAAATCCCAGTCATAATGTGAGAAAAAGATGGAAACAAAATAACAATTTTAAGTGAAGAATGAATTAAGGGCCTTTTTGACAAATGTTTAAAATTGGTACAAAACACCACTAAAATGAGATTTTTAAGGTTCGATATATTTTAAAGATCGGTTCGCCATAAAATTCTATTGGGGGTCACTGTATATATCACACCTCAAATCTCAGTCATAATGTGAGAAACAGCTTAAAACAAAAACATTATTTTAAGTAAAGAATGAATTAAGGGTATTTTCTAGCTAGTTTCCAAAAATGGTACAAAACACCGGTTAAATTCGATTTTTAAGGTTCAATATATTCTGAAGATTGGTTCGCCATAAAATTCTGTTAGGGGTGTCTGAATATAGCATAACTCAAATCTCAGTTATAATGTGAGAAAAAGATGGAAACAAAATAATAATTTTAATTGAAGACTGAATTAAAGCTATTTTCTGACTACTTTCCAAAAATGGTACAAAACACCGGTTAAATTCGATTTTTAAGTTTCAATATATTCTGAAGATTGGTTTGCCATAAAATTCTATTGGGGGTCTCTGAATATAGCATAACTCAAATCTCAGTCCTAATGTAAGAAAAAGTTTAAAACAAAAACATTATTTTAAGTAAAGAAAGAATTAGGGTATTTTCTGGCTACTTTCCAAAAATGGTACAAAACATCGGTTAAATTCGATTTTTAAGGTTTAATATATTCTGAAGATCGGTTTGCCATAAAATTCTATTAGGTGTCTCTGAATATAGCATAACTCAAATCTCAGTCCTAATGTGAGAAAAGATGGAAAACAAAAACATTATTTTAAGTAAAGAATGAATTAATGGTATTTTCTGGCTACTTTCCCAAAATGGTACCAAACAATCCTTAAATGGGATTTTTAAGGTTCGATATATTTAGAAGATCAGCTCGCCATAAAATTCCATTGGGGGTCTCTGAAAATAGCATAATTTAAATCTCAGTCGTAATGCGAGAAAAAGAAGGAAACAAAAACATTTTTCCAAGTTAAAACTGAATTGAAGATATTTTCTGGTTACTTTCCAAAAATGGTATAAAACACCGGTTAAAATCGATTTTTAAGGTTCGATATATTCTGAAGATAGGTTTGCCATCAAATTCTATTGGGGGTCTCCGAGTATAGCATAACTCAAAGCTCATTCATAATATGGGAAAAGGATGGAAACAAAAAATATAATTTTAAGTAAAATTCTGAAATATTCTAAAACACTAAACAACCTATAAAAAACAGCTTTTAAGACTTGATTTAAGAAAAAATATATAAAAGTTCTAAATAATATTTCCATAAAAAAATTGTTTATATTACAAAGTTTTTTTTTTAAATTAAAAGTAAGCTTAGCTTTTTACAGAAAAGAAAAACACAAAAGACCATGGGAAAATTTTGTTTTTTTTTTAATTATTATCTATTTATAGATATTTTTTAATTTATCTAACACAAAGTTTTTTTTTTGTAAGAGAAAAGATAAAAGAATAAGAGTAATTATTTAACATAAGGGTGGGGGGATAAAACGAAGATAACTTAAAACCAAGTTTTTAAAGCAAATTACATACAAAACTAAGTTATAACTATATTTAAAACAAATAGTACAGGACACAATTAGCATTGGGGGTTTTGCCGGGGTGTGGTGGGGGAAAAGCTTTTAGCTCTACCAAAGGCAGGTAAGAACATACAGGGGGAGAAAAACACAAAATGCAATTTCAAGAACCAAAAGGGATTTAATTTTACGAAAAGCAAAAGAAAGTACATAGCTCTTAAATGGTAAATGGAAACAGAACAAAGATAATCAAAAAATTATTCTACAGAATTTTATTTATTTATTTTTGTTTTTTTTTTTTTTTAACTTCTTTAAGTTAAACCAAAAGAATTTTAGTTAATTTTAATAATTTACAAACTAAAGGGTTTTTGGGGGTTAGTATTAAACTTAGGCTATTGACATAATTGTTTATATAGACTACCGAATAAAAAACATAAAACCTTGGGTGAAACATAACAAAACCAATTCAGAAAGAAGTCGCAGATTTGGACAATTTCATGGAAGAAGATAAATTGTTGGCTACAGAAATCATTTATTTCTTCAGATTTCTTCCATGAATTTTTCCAATCTAGGTTAAATCAAATACAATAAATAGCTTGTCATTTTGGGGAAGGGGGGTTGGTTTCTGGAGGAGTACAACAATTCCACTAAAGGTGTTGTTATGACGTTCTACTTATTTCTAAATTTTCTAAAAATCTAAACAAAGAAAATAAGTATTTAAAGCCAAGAAAGATGTATGCTTTCTTCCCCTCTCTACATGTTTTTCTAAGAATATTTGAAAAAAAAAAATTAGGAAATAAAAAACAAATTGTCTTAATTTTTTTTTTTTTTTTTTTTTTTTTTAAAATAATTTTTTCTTTGCGTGTGTTTGTGTGCGTGTGTGGCAATTAGTTTTGTCATCCGTCCACTCTCTCTATCTTTCTTACGCTCTCTCACCACCCACTCATCACAATGTTGGATGTGTTTGGTATTCAGTCATATTCACCTGATTGATATTGCCCAAAATTTGATGGCCCGAGGGCAGGGTTTGCACCTGGGCAATGGATAGCGAGGTGGTGCCATCGGTATTTTCGGTTTGTGTTACAATCTGTTGGGCTTGTTGTTGATTCTGTTGCTGCTGCTGTTGTTGCTGTTGGGCTTGTTGTTGTTGTTGCTGCTGTTGTCCCGTGGTTGTTGTAGTCGTCGTGGTGGATATATTGCCCGATTGATCGATTATATGATGCTGTTGTATCTGTTGAGCCTGTTGAACTTGAACTTGTTGCACCTGTTGTTGCTGTTGTTGGTTTTGTTGTTGCTGGTTCTGCTGTTGCTGATTCTGCTGTTGTCCGTTGTTGTTGTTGCTGCCCGTTGTTGTCGTGGTCACTGTCATTGTCTGTCCTTGGTTTTGTGCATCAGGATCCTTCTTAACTTGCACCGTCTGTAGGGTGTGCAACGATTGTACCGATTGCACTTGCGGCACCGTGCTAACCGATGTCGTGGTCACTGTCGATGTACCAGATGCATTCGTTGAACCGGGCGGTACAGCCATGGCGGTTTTCTTACCGGGAGCTAGAAATGAAAAGAAACAACAAAAAACAAGATGTTAGAAATGGGAAGTCTATATAAAACACCTTGGTCGTCGGCGAGGCTATTTTACACAAGAAATGCTTACGGTCTTTCTGAAACGTTTCTCTTGCAGTTTTTTTTCATTTTAGTCCTAGGTTGTGCATTTTGGAGGTAAAAAAAACAATTTTAAGTAAAAAGCCTATTTTGACGACTTTTCCAAATTGGACGAAAACACACCGAAAACGTCGCTATAGAGTTCCGTAACATGCTACAAAAGGATTGACCACAAAAATCTACAAGGGGTCTCTGAACATAGCAAGACTCAAATATCATTCTAAATATTCAAAAGAGGGGGAAACAAAATCAATATTTTAAGAAAATACTAAATTAAAGGAGTATTATTGGATGTTTTACAAAAATGCTATAAAAGACGAATAAAACGTGATCATGACAAATCGATATATTCTAGAAAAATGTTGTCTGGACAATTTTAATAGGGGTCTCCACATGTAGCGGGATTTAAATAAAGACAGAAGTTTATCAAAGAGATGAAAACAAAAATAGAACTTCAAGTAAAGCACGTATTTTGGCCTTTTTTCAAATTGGTCCAAAACGACTCGAAAACGTCGCTCTAGACTTCCGTAACATTCTACAAAAAAGTTGACCACAAAATTCTACTAGGGGTCTCTGAATATAGCATAACCTAAATCTCAATTTAAATGTCCGAAAGAGGAGGAAACAAAAAGATAGCTTTAAGTCAAAATTTTTGACTACTTTTCAAAAATAGTTGAAAACACGTCCAAAAAGGAATTTTTATGTTTCGATGTATTAAGAAAAATTGTTCTTCATAAAGTTCTACGAGGGGTCTCTGAATAGAGCATAACCCAAATATCAACCTAAATGCAAAAAAGAGGAGGAAACGAAAATACAATCTTGAGTCTAGACGAACTTAATGTATTATTTTTGACTACTTTTCAGAAATAGTTGAAAACGCCTCCAAATCGGGATTTTTAAGGTTCGATGTATTTAGGAAAAATGTTCTCCATAAAGTTCTACTAGAGGTCCCTGACTATAGCATAATGAAAATCTCAATCTAAATATCCGAAATAGGTGGAAATGGAAATACAATTTTGATTCAAGACGAACTACATTAAGTACTTTTCAATAATAGTACAAAACACCTCCAAAACGGAATTTTTATGGCTCAAAATATTCTAGAAAATGATTCTGCACTAAATTCTACTGGGGGTCTTTCAGTATAGCATAACTCCAATCCCAACCTAAATGCCAAAAAGAGGAAGAGAAAAATGACAATTTTATGTCAAAACTAAATTTAATTAACATTATTGAATAGTTTTCAAAAATGGGACAAAACACCACGAAAACGGAATTTTTAAGCTACGATATATTCTAGAAAATGGTTCTACACTAAATTCTACTAGGGGTCTCTCAATATAGCATAACTCCAATCGCAACCTAAATGCCAAAAAGATGAGGAAACAAAAATACAATTTTAAGTCAAGACTAAATTTAATTAAGATTATTAAATATTTCTCAAAAATGGTACAAAACACCTCGAAAACGGGATTTTTTGGCTTTCAATTATTCTAGAAAATGGTTCCACAATAAATTCTACTGGGGGTCTCTCAATATAGCATAACTCCAATCCCAACCTAAATGCCAAAAAGAGGAGGAAATAAAAATACAATTTTATAGCAAAACTAAATTTAATAAACATTATTGAATATTTTTCAAAATTGCTACAAAACACCACGAAAACGGGATATTTAGGGTTTCATTTATTCTAGAAAATTGTTCTCCACAGAATTCTACTGGGGTCTCAAAATACAGCGAAACTCAAATGTCAATTTACATGTCGGAAAAAGTTCGAAACAAAAACATTATCTTATGTCAACACTAAATTAAAGGAGTATTTTTGAATATTTTTCAAAAAGAGTAGAAAACACCTTGAAAACGTAATTTTTAGGCTTCAATATATTCTAGAAAATTGTTCTCCACAAAATTCTACTGAGGGTCCCAAAATACAACGAAACTCAAATTTCAATTTAAATGTCGGAAAAAGTTCGAAACAAAAACATAATTTTAAGTCAACGCTAAATTAAAGGAGTATTTCTGAGTATTTCTTGAAAAATGATACAAAACACCTTAAAAACGGAATTTTTGGGCTTCAATTTATTCCAGAAATTTGTTCTCCATAAAATTCTACTACGGGTCCCAAAGTACAGCGAAACTCAAATTTCAATTTAAATGTCGAAAAACGTTCGAAACAAAAACGTAATCTTAAGTCAACGCTTAGCTAAAGGATTGTTATTGAATATTTTTCAAAAAAGAGTAGAAAACACCTGGAAAACGGAACTTTTAGTCTTCAATATATTCTAGAAAATCGTTATCCACAAAATTTTACTGGGGGTTTTAAAGTACAGCGAAACTCAAATTTTAATTTAAATGTCGGAAAAAGTTCGAAACAAAAACATAATTTTAAGCCAACACTAAATTAAAGGAGTATTATTGAGTATTTTTTTAAAAATGATACAAAACACCTTAAAGATGGAATTTTTAGGCTTCAATATATTCTAGAAAATTGTTCTCCACAAAATTCTACCATGGGTCTCGGAATATATCATACGCCAAATCGTAATATGAGTCTCTCAAAAAGATCAGTTTCAATATGAAAATGTATTTTAGAACCCTTTTTCATTTCGTTTCATCTGCAGAGCCTCCATCTGGCCTTCATTTTATCCATAAACCTGATCTTTCTCTGACCTTCAGATTGTTTGCACAATACTTCATTACATCCAACTGGCCCCTAAAAAGAGGATCACCAGAATTCTGGTTCCTGAGCAACGTATTTTCCCCTTTCCGAACTACAAATTCATCTCGGAAGTTTATCAGCAACACAGCGCACATAGTTGTTACAATAGTAGAGGGTGGAGGTACTGAATGATTTGATTGGATTAATGAGTTGAATAAAAATGACACGTTCAATGATTATTTTTGTATGAATGTATGTGTGTGGGTGATGTAAGTGAGTGAGTGGGTGAATATGAAATGATGTTAGAAATACAAAATTTTGTTTACAATTTTATAAATTTTAATACTTTTTCTTTTGTGTTTGTGTATGTGTTTTTCGGTTAGTATATTAAAAAAAAAAAAAAAAAACAAAACAAAAACCAAACTTTATCGTGATGAATTTGTAGTTGCGAGAAAAAAAATCAGAAGAGGGAAGAAGACTTAAAAAATTCAATGCAAGGTGGTCAGAGATCTTGGGGTTTGGGGATTTAAATAGTATTCAAAAATTAGAAATATCTGAAATATCTAACTACAGAATAAAGTTCAGATTAATAAATGATATTCTCAAAACTAGAGTAGTAAAAATTATAAATACCAAAAAACAAAAACAAGGAATACAAACTCATAACAAATAAGGTTTGGTTTTTCTTTCATTATGTCCACTTTATTTATAAAGAAGTTTTCACTTTCATGTTTCGTTTTCTCTTTTTGTTGTTGTTAATTGAATGTGTATATATGTAAGTATTAGGTGTAGTTAAGTTATTCTAGTATTATTATAAATTATATTATAAAAAATATATATATATATATATATATATATTAAAATACATAAACTAATAATTTAAAAAATAGTTTAGAATTATAAATATTTTAAAAATATAAAATTGTGTTTTTTTTTTTTTTTTGTATTTTTTCTGTCGTTTTAAAGACTATTATTAAGTATTTCTTTACAATGCTTAATACAAGAAAAAATAAAAACAAAATTATTTAAATAATTTTGATTTTTTTTCAATTTGTATTCTCTTTTTTAAAAAAAATTTAATAAAAAATACATGAGATTAAGTTTTTTTTACAATAATATAGTTTAAAAGTTGTAGAAAAAATGGGAATTGAGTGAAGCTTTAGGAAGATCCTTAAAGAAAGGAATTTGAATTTTGACCCTAAAAATAGGATTTACTTTAGTTTGTCGATAAAGAAGGCATTTGGGTAGTCTAGAAAAATTCCCTTCTTTAAAAAAGATAGTTCATTTTTTTTTTGCAACTGCAGGGTTAACTGCAGGTTATTTTTATTCGTAACAACACGAAGAACAGTTTTGTAGAACATATTTAGTATCCTTTAGGAATTGATGTAGTATTTATGATAAGTTTTCAAAATTGTTACAAAACACCCCGAAAACGTGGATATTGTAAATCGTGATGGTCTACAAAAATATTCTCCACAAAATTCTACTAGGGGTCCCTGAACACAGCATAGCTCAAATCAAAAGATTTAAGTTAGAGAAAGATGAAAACAAAAACAAAACTTTTAATAAAATTTAATGGGAGTACTTTTACGCAATTTTTAAAAAATATGTTCAAAACAACACGAAAACGTGGATATTGAAATTCCCATTAGCTACAGAAATATTCAAATCGTAGCATAAAAGATAAAAATAAAATAACCATTTTTAGAAAAACGTTTTTTTTTCTGACACGTTTCAAAAATTGTCCGAAACCAATCGAAAACATGGATATAAAAGTTCGCGATAGCCTACAAAAATATTCTCTATAAAATTCTACTAGAGCCCTCTGAATACAGCATAACTCAAATCGGAGGACAAAAGTGAGAAAAAGATAAAAATAAAATCACCTTTTTTAGTTATAGTTAATTGAAGTAGTTTTTTGACATTTTCCAAAAAATGTACAAAACAACCCGAAAACGTGAACATCGAAGTTCGCGATAGTCTACAAAAATATTCTCTATAAAATTCTACTAGAGCCCTCTGAATACAGCATAACTCAAATCGTAGCATAAAAGTCGGAAAAAGATAAAAATAAAATCACATTTTTTAGTTATAGTTTATTTGAAGTAGTTTTTTGACATTTTCCAAAAAATGTACAAAACACCCCGATAACGTGAAGATCGAAGTTCGCGATAGTCTACAAAATTATTCTCTATAAAATTCTACTAGAGCCCTCTGAAGACAGCATAACTCAAATCGGAGGACAAAAGTGAGAAAAATATAAAAATAAAATCACTAGTTTTAGAAGAAGCTTTTTGACATATTTCAAAATATGTACAAAACACCCCGAAAACGTGAAGATCGAAGTTCGCGATAGTCTACAAAATTATTCTCTATAAAATTCTACTAGAGCCCTCTGAAGACAGCATAACTCAAATCGGAGGACAAAAGTGAGAAAAAGATAAAAATAAAATCACCAGTTTTAGAAGAAGCTTTTTTGACATTTTTCAAAAAATGTACAAAACAACCCGAAAACGTGAACATCGAAGTTCGCGATAGTCTACAAAAATATTTTCTATAAAATTCTGTTAGGGGTCTCTGAATACAGCTTAGCTCAAATCGTAGCATAAAATTCGGAAAAAGATGAAAATAAAATCACCATTTTTATTAATAGTTAATTGAAGTAGTTTTTTGACACTATTCAAAAAATATACAAAACACCCCGAAAACGTGAAGATCGAAGTTCGCGATGGTCTACAAAAATATTCTCTATAAAATTCTACTAGGGGTCTCTGAATACAGCATAACTCAAATCGGAGGACAAAAGTGAGAAAAAGATAAAAATAAAATCACCTTTTTTAGTTATAGTTAATTGAAGTAGTTTTTTGACATTTTCCAAAAAAAGTACAAAACACCCTGAAAATGTGAAGATCGAAGTTCGCGATAGTCTACAAAAATATTCTCCACAAAATTCTACTAGGGGTCTCTGAATACAGCATAGCTCAAATCGTAGCATAAAAGTCGGAAAAAGATAAATATAAAATCACCATTTTTAGTTATTGGTAATTAAAGTAGTTTTTTGACATTTTCCAAAAAATGTACAAAACACCCCGAAAACGTGAAGATCGAAGTTCGCGATTGTCTACAAAAATATTCTCTATAAAATTCTACTAGGGGTCTCTGAATACTGCATAACTTAAATCGTAGCATAAAAGTCAGATAAAGGTGAAAATAAAATCACAATTTTTAGAAGTTTTATTTTTGACTCTCTTCAAAAATTGTTTTTGAAAAAGCTACGAAATTCTGCTAAAACTTGGATTTTGAGACTTGTCATGTTCTACAAAAATGTTCTTCACAAAATTCCACTGGGGGCATCTGAATATCCAAAAACTCTAAACATAAGCGAAAGGCTGAAATTAGGTAATAACAAAAAGAAAATCTTTTGTAAAGAAGAAAAATAGTTTGATATGGCCCCCATCGAAGAGATCCTTACAATGTGGGCCACCTATTGATTTTTCTGCTTTAGAAAAGATAATGCTAGATAAAAATAGGAACCTTTCAATAGATACTCTAGAGAAAAAATTGGATCTTTACTGATTTTAAAAATGTACTACTCCCAAATAAAACTCCCTTTTTTTCTACAACTTTTCTTTCATAACTTATAATAATGTTGTTGTTTTTTTGTTTGTGTTTAAAATTATACAAATAAAATTAGATAAAATTTTAAATTACTTTGAAGTAATAATCTGATATATACAAAAAAATATATATATTTAAAAAAATTAAAAACTTTGAAAGAAAACCATAAAGGAATTGCATTTAAGCGTGTGTTTCTGTTTAAGAGAGAGAGTGAGAGACATACAGACAGAGATTTGCTTGCCAACCGCTGGTGGGCATTGTTAGAAGAAGGAAGCAGAAAATTATCAAAATTGCAACTCGAAATGCAATGGAAGATATGTCAAACAAAGAGATGAAGAAGAAAAGTAAATGATGTCAACAAGGAATGCATGATGATAATGATTGATGTTGTTGTTGAGAAAATGATGATGCTGAGCGGGTAAGTATTGATTAGAAACAAAGAAAATGTGTGGTGTTTTATGATTATTGCTGTTGATGTTGCTGCTGCTGTTGTTGTTGCTGTTGTTGTTGCTGCTGCTGATAAACTTCCTCACTAACTATGTGTATGACATTTTGCATTTGACCTTGATTCGCCGCATTGGCCACCTGCTGAGCCGTTGCTGTACCCACAATACAACCACCAGCGGTTGTGGTAATGGTTGCGGCGGCGCCTGGCTCCTGTTTAAGTACGGGCAATTGGGTGATGGTATTGCCCATAATTATGGGCGTGCCACCACTTGTTACCGCCGTCGTCGTTGTATTCATGGGTATCGCATTGCTCACAGCCGTGACCAAGGCATTGACACCACCACCGCCGCCGTTTGCATTATGTCCACCCGCCGTTGTCGTTGTTGTATTATCTAGTATACCACTGGCATCGCTGGTCATTGTCGTCGAACCTAACATTGTTGTGTTGTTACCGTTCATTGCCTCAGTCGATGCATCTAGATCGGCACCGGTGCCGCTGCCATTACCACCACCTGACTTACTTTTCTTTTCCTTTTTCACACCGGGTTTGGCAAAATGTCTCAGCTCCAAGTGACGACGTAAGTTGCGCGATTGACGAATGACAGCATAACAGATGGGACATGTGGCCGGTTGTTCGGATTGTGATCGGGAACGAGGTTCTGCAAAAAGGAGATGGAGAAAAATTAATGAGAAATCGAAATTAAAATAAAATCTCAATAAAATGTGTGCATTATCCAAATAGCATGGATAATGTATCTATGCCATACAAATGGCATGGGAAATGTATCTAGCCTATACATATGCTATGGAAAATGTATCTACATTATCCAAATGTCGTGGATAATGTATCTACATTACCCAAATGACATGGAAAATGTATCTACACTATTCAAATGGCAGGGTTAATGTATCTACATTATCCAAATGGTGTGGATACTATCTACATACACTAGATACACAATCCAAATGACAGGGATAATGTATCTACACTATCTAAATAGCATTGATAATGTATCTATACTATACAAATGGTACGGATAATGTATCTACATTATCTAAATAGAATGGATAATGTATCTGCATTATCTAAATGGCAGGGATAATGTATCTACATTATCTAAATGGCTGGGATAATGTATCTACATTGTCTAAATGACATGGATAATGTATCTACACTATCCAATGGCTGAGATAATGTATCTATACTATCCAAATGATGTGCATTATGTAACTACATTATCCAAATGACATGTATAATGTATCTACACTATCCAAATGGCGTGAATAATGTATCTAGACTATCTAAATAGCATGGATAATGTATCTACACTATCCAAATGGCAGGGATAATGTATCTACACCATCCAAATGGCATGAATAATGTATCTATACTATACAAATGGCATGGATAATGTATCTACATTATCCAAAAAGCATGGATAATGTATCTACACTATCCAAAAGGCATGGATAATGTATCTACACTATCCAAATGGCGTGAATAATGTATCTAGACTATCTAAATAGCATGGATAATGTATCTACGCCATCCAAATGGCATGAATAATGTATCTGTACTATACAAATGGCATGGATAATGTATCTACATTATCCAAATGGCATGGATAATGTATCTACATTATCCAAATGGCATGGATAATGTATCTACATTATCCAAATGGCATGGATAATGTATCTACATTATCCAAATGGTATGGATAATGTATCTACTTTATCTAAATAGCATGGATAATGTATCTACCTTATCCAAGTGGCATGGATAATGTATCTACATTATCCAAATGACATGAATCATGTATCTAGACTATCTAAATAGCATAGATAATGTATCTTCATTGTTCGAATGAAGTGGATAATGTATCTACTTTATGTAAATAGCATGGATAATGTATCTACCTCATCCAAATAGCATGGATATTGTATCTAACTACACAAATGCCACGGACAATTTATCTACATTATCCAAAGGGCATGGATAATGTATCTACATTATCCAAATGGTATGGATAATGTATCTACATTATCTAAATAGCATGGATAATGTATCTACCTTATCCAAATAAGGTCTACGCTATGTAAATAGCATGGATAATGTATCTATACTATATAAATGGTACGGATAATGTATCTACACTATCAAAATGGCATGAATAATTTATCTAAACCGTGTAAATTATAAATATGACGTTTAAAAAGTATCTCCATTTTCTAAATAGCGTGCATTTTGTAGAAGAAAAAAAGTTGTTCCTCCATCGACTACTACTTACTACTAAATGACAGGTATAATGTATCTACACTATCTAAATAGCATAGATAATGTATCTTCATTGCTCAAATGAGGTGGATAATGTATCTGCACTATCCAAACGGCATGCTTAATGTATCTACACTATTCAAATGACATGGATAATTTATCTACACTATCCAAATGGCATGAATAATGTATCTACGCTATCCAAATGGCATGAATAATGTATCTACATTATCCAAAAGGTGGATAATGTATCTGCACTATCCAAATGGCGCGAATAATGTATCTAGACTATCTAAATAGCATGGATAATGTATCTACGCTATCCAAATGGCGCGAATAATGTATTTAGACTATCTAAATAGCATGGATAATGTATCTACACTATTCAAATGGCGTGGATAATGTATCTACACTATCCAAATAGTTTAAATAATGTATCTACAACATCCAAATGACAGGGATAATGTATCTACACTATCCAAACGGCATGGTTAATGTATCTACACTATTCAAATGGCATGAATAATGTATCTACACTATCCAAATGGCGTGAATAATGTATCTAGACTATCTAAATAGCATGGATAATGTATCTACGCCATCCAAATGGCATGAATAATGTATCTGTACTATACAAATGGCATGGATAATGTATCTACATTATCCAAATGGCATGGATAATGTATCTACATTATCCAAATGGCATGGATAATGTATCTACATTATCCAAATGGTATGGATAATGTATCTACTTTATCTAAATAGCATGGATAATGTATCTACCTTATCCAAGTGACATGGATAATGTATCTACATTATCCAAATGACATGAATCATGTATCTAGACTATCTAAATAGCATAGATAATGTATCTTCATTGTTCGAATGAAGTGGATAATGTATCTACTTTATGTAAATAGCATGGATAATGTATCTACCTCATCCAAATAGCATGGATATTGTATCTAACTACACAAATGCCACGGACAATGTATCTACATTATCCAAAGGGCATGGATAATGTATCTACATTATCTAAATGGTATGGATAATGTATCTACATTATCTAAATAGCATGGATAACGTATCTACCTTATCCAAATAAGGTCTACGCTATGTAAATAGCATGGATAATGTATCTATACTATATAAATGGTACGGATAATGTATCTATGCTATCCAAATGGCAAGGATAATTTATCTAAACCAAATGTATTATTCACACGACGTTTAAAAAGTATCTCCATTTTCTAAATAGCGTGCATTTTGTAGAAGAAACAAAGTTGGTCCTCCATCGACTACTACTTACTCTCTCCACTCAAATTCTTGGTACGTTTGCCAGTTTTGCCGGGTGTTGAAATGCTTATTTCACCACTTGTGTTCGGGTCCATAACGATCGTTTCCACTTTGGTAACTTCACTCTTGATAATCGGTGTCGAGGTGATCATTGAGCCGTCATTACCATTTTCGATCTGTTGCTGCTGTTGTTGTTGTTGTTGCTGCTGTTGGACCTGTTGTTGCTGGGTCGTCTGTACCGTGGCCGTGGGATGAGATGTTGTTGGGGTGCTGATAATCGTGTCCATGCCTTCAACTTTAGTGATTTTCGGAGCAGTGGCTGTTTCGCAGAAACAAATGAAATTAAATTTTTGAAATGTCAAAGAAATGTATTTCAAACTTACGTGACATTTTCTTAACACGGGGTTTACGTTTGCGTGCCGGCAAATATTGTTGTATAACATCCTTGGTAGCATCTGTGGTCACAATGGTCTGTTGTTGTCCTTGTTGAGTTTGTGTGGTCGTTTGCAGAATTTGTCCAGCCTGATGTATGTCGTCAACAACTTGAGCATGTACCGTTTGTTGGGGAGCCGTGGCAATGGTGGCAATCAATTGTTCTTGTTCCTATGGAAATAAAATTTATTATTTCATTTGTCTTTTTCATGTTTTTGATTTTAACTTACATGGTGGTGTTGGGGTATCATGTGTTGCAATTGTATCGAATGCGTATAGTCGTCTTTGGTCACAGTTTGTGGCGCCAGCCCTTGTATATTCAAACATTGTGCTGCCTGCAACAGTGATGGTAATTGGGCATGATCGACACTCACCTCACCACGATAGACAAACTCCAGCAATGCCTCCAAATCGTTGGCATTGACACCGGCCAACATAACGACCGGATGTTTGCAGGGGGTGTTCTGAAATTGAATTAGAAAAAAAATATTTTTTTAATTATTTCATTAAAGGAGAGAAAATGAGACATCAAAAGGCCTATTCCCAACACTATTTTAATCAAAAAGGGAAATGTTTTCCGTTTATGGTAAATTAATATAAGGACAGTGTAAAAATTCAGGAAGATCGTCTTCTCTGAATGTCCTAGGAAAGAAATTGAATTAATGGGTCCTATACTTTCTTTTATTGAAGCACTGACTCCAAAAGATTTTCTATAGATAAGGGGCTAGAATAATAACTCTGCAAATAGAGTTTTATAACTCTCTGTGGGACCTTTAATAAAAATCCTAAAATATTCGTATCTGATACCAAAAGCTAAATAATTCCCATATGATCTAGTGGCAAGGATTTTTCTTGATAGAAATCATAATAGTTTTCCAAGTTCTACATTCTCTCTTCTAAAACCCTATCGTGTTCTCAAAATTTCCTCAAATGATCAGCATGTCGTAAAGTCATTGAATATTTCCTTATTATTCCCATACGGTCTAGTGGCGAGGACATCTAATTCGATTTAAGAATTATTGACATTTCCAAATACTTCCAACTTCTGAAGAAAATGCATTTGATTTTTTCCCATATGTTCTAGTGACGAGGACACCTAATTCGATCTAAAAACCACTATCGTCTCCAATGACTTTTAACATCTAATAATCATTGGATTTTCTTAATTCCCATATGTTCTAGTGGCGAGGAAAACTAATGCGATTTAAAAATTATTGTCGTTTCCAAAGAATTTTTAAATCTAAGCAATAAAATTAGTAAAAATAGTACACGAAATTAACATCCGATTCCATTCAGACTTGGTACATCTCAATATTTCCACCAGCACAAGATTTGTTATAAAGATGGTAGAGATAGGACCATTCCTTCTAGTACCTCCCCCACAAAGGGTTTAAGTTTAAAATAACCAAAAGGATCATAAAATCCAAAATAAGCATCCGATTCTTTTCAAATTACACACATTACAATACTTGTATTGGCCCAAGGTCTGGTGTGAAGATAGGATATATTGGCCCACTTTTTTGATACCTCCCCCACAAAGGGATAACATTTTGAGTATCCATGAAGCACCGATTGCATTCAGACTTGGCACATCTCAATATTTCATCAAATCTGTTATAACGATGGTAGAAATCGGACCATTCCTTCTCAAACCTCGCCCACAAGGGTTTAAGTTTTGAATAACAAAAATGATAATAAAATCCGAAATAAGCATCCGGTTCTCTTCAAATTACACACATCACAATATTTTTAATAACCCAAGATCTGATGCGAACGTGGAATATATCGGTTCATTCCTTCTGGTACCTCCCCCACAAATTGATAAAGTTTTGAGTATCCATGGAACTCATAAAACGCGGAATTAACATCCGATTCAATTTAGACGTTGTACATCTCAATATTTCCATCAACACAAGATATGTCATAAAGATGGTAGAGATCGGACTATTTATTCTGGTACCTCTGCCAGATAGGGTCCAAAATTTTTGGAAAAAACGCTCAAGGACAATGAATTAAGCATACGGTTCTCTTCAAATTTCACACATCACAATATTTTTAATAACCCAAGATCCAGTGTGAAGATGGGATATATGTGCCAACCCCTCTTCTGGTACCTCACCCACAAAGAGTCACAACATCCAAAACATATATCTGTCATAGCTTGCGAAGCTTGCCATATCTAAATATTTCCCTCAAATCTTTGCAAGATATGGTATGCTGGAGATAGCTTCATAAATTCTTTATGGGGTTCATGTCTGTACTCTGGTATTCCCTTCAAATCTTTGCAAGATATGGTATGCTGGTGGAATTTTCCATCGAGATAGCTCCATAAATTATCTATGGGGTTCATGTCTACACTCTGGGCTGGTGTATCCATGACGTGGGGAAAATTATATAGCAGCCATGGCCGCACTTGTGTTTCGGGGATCATTGTCTTGATAAAAATAATAATCTTCGCCATGGCCGAGTTTTTCCTTACAGAGTGGCAAACTTTCTTTCAAATGTAAGGTACATAGTCTGATCCATAATACCCTCAAAAAAATGCAATACACCAGGTCCAGAGGCTGAAAATGAACCTCACACCATTATTGGCCCACCACCGTGCTATTTTTTTGACAATTTTTTGCCTTTCTCCATAGATAAGGTCTGCCATCTGAACCAAAAAGGTTAAATTTGCTCTTTTCCGCGACCAGCACATTGTTCCATTTGTTATCCGTTTTAATATTTAAGTCAGTAAATTACACAACACGTGGAAATTTGTGATAAATCAGCTGTTAGGGACTTCCCCAAATATATTTTCCAATAATCGCGTGAAGTTGAACGCAGTTGCCGTATAAATGTAAGCTGTACGAGTTTAGCTTTTGCATAGAAATTTGGTGAGTCTTAGAATAAATTCCATTGTTTCGTTAAAAAAAAAAAAAAACAGTAAAATTCTGTTCTACGGCTAGGTTAGGTTAAAGGACGCGCGGTTACCATATGTCAACCGCTCCACTCGGAGACCTATAGGTCCATTGTGTTCATCCTAGAAAAGAGTGTTAGATCAGGTTTTGACAATGACATCAGCGACCTTGTTCTCTTCTCCGAGAGTGTGGGCCAGATTCGTTTGGGGATGGTACATCCAATTTCATCCAGCCATTTTTGTTGGATTTTCTCAGAGTAGTGTTTGTGAATAACCTGTAGGAAATTGGCACAGTGGTGGTTTAACCGAGTTGTCTACTTCAATTGTAGTTGATTCGGATCCTAGTCTGGCCAATTCGTCTGCAGTCTTGTTACCTGGGATGTTGAAATGTCCAGGAACCCAACAGAGCTTGATGGATAACCTAGTGTTTTCCAAGGCTTCCCTGCAGTTCAAAACAGCCCTAGACTTGATTGTAAAGGAACTCAAGGCCTTCAGTGCCGCTTGACTATCGACATATATAGTCACCTGACTACTGACTTCAATGCTCCTGAATGCGTGACCAGCAGGTCAATGGCCTTTTTGACCGCAATGATTTCCGCCTGAAATACGCTACAGTTGTTTCCAAGCTTGTAGGATTCACGAACATTAAGAGTATCACAGAAGACACCAGCTCCCGTACCACACTCCATCTTTGAACCGTCGGTATAAACAGCTATGCCACGGAAAGGTGGGTTGTTTTGAGCCCAGGCGTCTCTATCAGGTATGTGTAGTATGTCAGGTGGGTAGAAGCTTAGTCGTGGTGAAATATAGTCACTTACAAAGTCTCCCACATTCCTTACATGCCTTAGAATCGCAGAATGTCCAAAGGGTTGACTGCGCCATTCACCTAGTGGATGCCTGTTCCTCCACATATACATTCAGCGGGCTTAGGCCCAGTAGAGTATCCAGTGCTGCTTGAGGCGTGCTCCTGTGTTCTACGGCTAACTCTAATAAAAAAATATACGAGTTTCGCTTGGAGCTACTGTAGATCAGTCTTAGGTCAAATACGAATTGGTTAATACAGACCTCCCCCATAAAGGGTCAACAGTTAGAAAAATCATAACTCGTGACTGGGGGTATACATCTGCGGGCAAAACCGACTGATACTATTTTACTTGTTTTTAAATAAAAATTTATTTTTATTGTTACAATTGTAAATTTAATAAAAAAACGAGCTCGAGGTCTTTGTTGTTGTTTAATTATTTATTATTTTCGATATTTCGTCCTCCAACGGAAGACATCATCAGGAACAATACTGTTCAAAAATATATAAAAAAATTTTACAAAATATCGCCAAATGTTCCTGATGATGTCTTCCGTTGGAGGACGAAATATCGAAAATAATAAATAATTAAACAACAACAAAGACCTCGAGCTCGTTTTTTTATTAAATTTACAATTGTAACAATATATAATAAAGGTCGAATTAAATATCTAAAAATCAAATAATTTATTTCTATTACACCAAAATGCCCATATGGTCTAGAGGCGGGGATATCTAACAGGTTGACATTTTAATCCACCTCCATCAAAGTTCTTGAATTAATTTAAAGACCTTCCAGCCAACAGGCCTCCTGCCAACATACTACTAAACTCATGACACAATATATGCTGTATTGGAACTTTTCGCGCCTAAATTTGTATAAACAAAATTACCAACACAATGACACACACGGAGAGATACTATTTTTCCGTTCATGTACCGGCATTTTTGTCCCATATTTTGGTATAGATTTTGTTTTTATTTTCTTTTTTTTTCGTTTTTGCTAAGAGACGTCGTCTGTCACAGTAACTCTTTTTTGCCAGCGGTGCGAGAGGAGGTTATCTCAACGTGTGAGTATGTTGTTGTTGAGATATGTTGACAATGATTTACAACAAAATAGCTGCCATATTCCCAATAGCAATTAAACACAACAAAAATGCAAACGAGAGCAACAAATGGGCCAAAAGAGATCATGGTTGAGGCGCAACAACAAAACAAACACACGCACTCACACACACACACACACACACACAAACCTAGATGTAACAAAAAAAAATCCAATTGACTCCAACGGCAAAAAAAATGCAACACAACACCTGCAGAGAAAAATGTAATGGTCCCTCTTCTACACCTCTCTTGCTCTCTCCCAAGAATTTTAAGATACTCACAACGACGACAACAACAACAACAATGGGGGGGACTCCGTTAACCATTAAAAACTATTCTAAATCAGAGATAAATATTTTTAGTTTCATTTATGCTCTGCATTTTCTTTCTTGGTAATTTCTTTCCCCCGTGGAGATTAGAGGAATGAGAACGAACAACAATAAAAAAAAACCCTCCCAACATTATTATCATCAAAAGGAGAAATGAAAATATGAGAATTAGCTGGTTATTGAATAAAGGGGCGGGGGAGAGGAAACCGCAACTAAATGGGAGTAGAGAAAGATTACTCTTCCCCGCCTAAATACAACAGAAATTTAGAGTAAAAGAGATTGGTGTTGTTGGTTTTTTCGTTTAGAAGACTCACAGCATTGAATCTT